GTAACTAGGGAGAGAACAGGGCCCCTAATAGATCAACAAGGCTGCCTTTTTGCATCAGTGTTTATTGTGGAGAAGGATATAGAAGATATAGAATGAGGGGAAATAGATAACAGCATCTTGAAAAAAATTTCCATATTAGAGAGGTGGTGGTCCTGGACGGCTTAAAATGCATAAAGGCGGATAAATCCCTGGGACCTGATCAGTTGTACCCTAGAACTCTGGGAATGAGGAAAGTGATTTATGGGCCCTTGCTGTATCATCGATAGCGACAGGTGAGGCGCTGGAAGACTGGAGGTTGGCTGACATTGTATCACTATTTAAGTAAGGTGGTAAGGAAAAACCAGGAACTATAGACCGGTGTGCCTAATGTTGGAATCCTGAGGAACAGGATTTACATTATTTGGAATGACAAGGACTTATTAGGGATAGTCAACATGGCTTTGTGCGTGAGAATTTGTGTCTCACTAACTTGACTGAGTTTCTTGAAGAAGTCACGAAGAGGATTGAGGGGGGCAGAGCGGTGGATGCGATTTATATGGACTTCAGTAAGGCATTCAACAAGGTTCCTCATGGTGGACTAGTTAGCAAGGTTAGATCATGTGTAATACGGGGAGAACTAGCCATTTGGATACAGAATTGTCTCAAAAAGGTAGAAGACAGGGGGTGGTGGTGCAGGGTTGCTTTTCAGACTGGAGGCTTGTGACCAGTGGTGCGCTGCAAAGATCGGTGCTGGGTCTGCTGCTTTTAATCATTTATATAAATGATTTGGATGCGAACATAGGAGGTATGGCTAGTAAGTTTGCAGATGACACCAAAAATGAAGGTGTAGTATACAGCAAAGAAGGTTACCTCAGGGTACAACGGGATCTTGATCAGATGGGCCGACGGATCGAGTAGTGGCAGATGGAGTTTAATTTAGATAAATGTGAGATGCTGCATTTTGGAAAGGCAAATCAGGGCAGGATTCATACACATCATGGGAAGGTCCTGACAAGCGTTGCTGGACAAAGAAACCTTGGAGTGCAGGTTCATAGTTGCTTGAAAGTGGAGTTGCAGGTAGATAGGGTAGTGAAGAAGGCGCTTTGTATGTTTGCCTTTATTGGTCAGTGCATTGAGTATAGGAGTTAGGAGGTCATGTTGAGGCTGTACAAGACATTGGTTAGGCCATTTTTGGAATATTGTGTGGAATTCTGGTCTTCCTGCTAACAGGAAGGATGTTGTGAAACTTGAAAGGGTTCAGAAAAGATCTACAAGTATGTTGCCAGTGTTGGAGGGATTGAGCTATAGGGAGAGGCCGAATAGACTGGGGCTATCTTACCTGGAGCGCGGAGGTTGAGGGGTGACCTTAGAGAAGTTTATAAAATCAGGAGGGGCATGGATAGGGTAACTAGCTGAGGTCTTTATCCCGGGGTGGGGGAGTCAAAAATCAGAGGGGAGAGGGGTAAGATTTAAAAGGGACCTAAGGAGCAGCTTTTTCACGCAGAGGGTGGTGTGTGTATGGAATGAGCTACCAGATGAAGTGGTAGAGGCTGGTACAATTACAACATTTAAAAGGCATCTGGATGGGTATATGAGTAGGAACGGTTTAGATGGATATGGGCCAAATGCTGGCAAATGGGACTAGATTTTATAGGATATCTGGTTGCCATGGACAAGTTGGACCAAATGGTCTGTTTCAGTCCTGTGCAACTTTACGACACATCCGTCCATTGTAACTGTGGTCACTTGCCTGTATGGTCTTCTGAAACTCACAACAAGTATTTCTCATGGTCTTGAAGGTGTTGGTTATGAAGCAAGTATTCTTGCCAATATTCATAGATACACAAACATGATTCTAATGGGTATGGCCTCAGCAAAACTGGCAACCAGTTTTTAACTTCATAGCAAAGCAAACCAAGAATGTAAAAACAGATGGCAGAAGTTTCCACAAGTATCTCAATAGGAAAACAGTACTTAAAGCTAGCGTTGGTCCTCTAGCGAGTGAGACTGGGGAATTGATAATGAAAACCAAAGGAAATGAAAAAAAGGGATTGAACAGGTATTTTGTCTGTCTTGACTGTAACAGACTTGAAAAATGTCTGAAAGATACTGAAAAATGAAGAGTGAAAGGGAGGGAGACACTTAAGGGATTTGACATGGCACCACCTCAAAAAGGTTATCACACAAAATAAGAGCAGATATGTAACATGTGAAAATGTCCAATTTAGCAGGAGGAACAAAAAAGCAGTATACTGTTTAACTGTAGATTGCAAATCTCATCAGTACATCAGAGAATGTTAGCTCATCTCATTTCTACGATGAAGGGGTTTATCTTGTGAAGAAATGCAGAGCAGGTTGGGCCTAAACCCATTGGAGATTAGAAGAATCAGGTTTTTTTTAAATTCATTCATGGGACGTGGATGTCATTGGCTATTTCAGTATTTACTGCTCATCATTGAAAAGATGGTGACTAACAGCATTCTCGAACTACAGCAGTCCTTAGGGTGCAGGTACACACACACACACACACACACACACACACACAGTGTTGCTCGAAAGGGTGTTCCAGGATTGTAAAGCCATGACTGTGGGGGCAGAGAACAAACGATGGAATATTTCCAAAGCAGGATGGTATATGGCTTGGAGGCAAACTTACAGATGATGGTGCTCCCATGTATCTGCTACCCTTGTACTTCTAGATGGTAGTGGTCACAGTGCTGCCTAAGGATCTTTGGTGAATTCCTGAAGTGTATATTGTAGATGTACACATTGCTGCCACTGTACATTGCTGATGCAGTTAGTGAATTTTGAAGGTGGTGGGTGAAGTGTCAACAACACGGGCTGTTTTGTCCTGGATCGTATCAAACGTTTTACTGCTGTTAGAGCTGCACCCATCCAGGCAAATAAGGAGCAATCCATCACAGCCCCGTCTTGTCCATATACTATTTGGAATCAAGAAGAATAAGAAAAGATCTTATTAAAAGGTAGAAGATCCTGAGAGAACTTGACAGGATGCATTGTAGGGGAGACTATAAATAGAGGACACTAGTTCTCTCAGAGTTAGTCGTTGACAGAATTATCTTCCCCAGAAAGGAGAAGGCTGAGTTACTGAATTTTGTTATGCTAAGTTAGACAGAGGATTGAAGGGTTATAGGTACAGTCTGGAACGTGGAGTTGAAGCCAGTTGAACTAGATCAGCTATGATCTTATTGAATGGCAGTGCAGGACCAAAGGGTTAAATGCTCTACACGTACACCTAAATGTTCCTAGAATTCATATGATTTTGCTTCAGTCAGATCAACTTTCATTTTGGTGCAGCTCAATATAAATCCTGGGAGAATAATTTTATATAATGGATTAAGTATTAATTTGTATGGCTGTATGTCACACCAAGGTCAAGTAATATTTGGGCAGTTTCTCTGAATGTCTCCATTGCTCCTTTCCTCGTTTGGCACCAAGTAACATATTGCATATTTATGCCATTACATTAATACTTTTGCTCTTCATAGCTGCAAACGGTGGTTTCAATAACTTTGTGGTTCAGAGCTCAGCCCATTTGGTAATTCTCTAACCCGTCCCTTTTCACCTTAACTTTAGATATTTCCCAAGTTGTCTTGAAACTGGTATGGCAGACAGTTTTGACACGAGCTATAAAATAGCCTTTGGTGAAGAATTATACAGCAATGTTTAAGCTATCCCCTTTAAAATAGCCGCCTTTTATATGTTTGTTCAGGTTTGATAAGTCTACAATGGTATGTTATTCCAACATCTCGTTTCTGTCCTGTAAAAATATTTGAAACATAGTCTCCATGCTGCCATTGCTTTTACAATCACAACACTGGCTGGAATTTTGCTGTCCTTTGAGTGCCATGGGCAATGGTAACAAAGGTGGGAAAATGGGGAAAGAATGAAAACAAAAATCAATCAGAATCTCACATCGAGAAACTATATGATTTTCCTTTGAAGCTTTACATGGTGTCTTCAGAATTCACTATGGAGCGGAGACTACTTTATTTACATCCATTTGTATGTCTTTATTAGTCTAACTCCCCTTGTTTCTACACCATCTCAAATTCTCCTCTCCAAGAAGCAAAACAATACAAAATCCCAACATGCAAGTCAAAGCAGGTACCTGGCAGCTGCAGCTTGCTGCAGCCATTATCCAATTATGTCTTCAATACAATGTCCCTTCGACACTTTACTTCAGAGCTCAGGGATACCTATGACTTGCATGCTTCTGCCAGGTCAGTTGTGCGCAGGGGCACACTCATTTCATGCATCATTGCAGTTATGGCTCTTAGCTTGCTTTCTTGTCATTTAATTACTTTGCCCTTACTTGGGATGTTGCCAGCCTCTATGATTTGCATTGATTCTTAGTGCAACCAACCAGAATCCTGGGATTTCTGGCCTGGAACAAACCTTATTGCATTGCCTGCCATAGAAGCGCGATAAGGACTGTGACATGCTCTGAACGGAGTGTTGCTTCTCATCACAACAGATGTCTGTTGTTCTTTCACAGCACAAGAGATCATCTCTGAGCAGTCACTATTTTGCCTTTACATTTGAGATGGAAACATCCATGCAAACCAAGTTGAGATCAGGCTTTATTAGTTATTTTCTGTGCTGATTCAGCTCAATGTCGGTGTACGTATAGCTTTCAAGAGCACTACGATCTCCTTCACAAAGAGACTTTGGCACCTCTGAAATTTTAGTCCAACGGTGGACCAAATGATTCAAATTTTCCCAAATCAAAGGATTCAACTTTGGACTAACAGATTGCAGTTTATCATATGTTTATCACTCAGCCAGTCTCTTAAAGGGAATGTAAATCTCAACATGAAGTCCAGGGAACGCAATTCTCAAGGCAAAAATCAATCAATTGATTATTGTGCATTCAATGAGTTCTACCCAAAATATGGCCACTATTATAATGTAGGAAATACAGCACCCAATTTGGAGCAATGATACAGGAGCTGCTACTAACAGGTTAAAAGTATGGTAATACATTATCTCCTCTGTCACTATTTTTCAGTCTCATTTGCCATCATGCTTTGGTCATCAACACTTTCAACGTTACACACTACGAAAACTACCAATTAGAAAGTATTAAACATGTAAGGAAACTGCTAATGGTTTACACGAACATTCTGGAGAATTGACAAGGGCTAAAGGAAGTGGCGATCCCGCATCACATTTATTACTCATGTTTCTAATGCACAACTAATAGCTTCAACAAAATAAAACATTTAATTTTACAAAA